GAAAAATGTGTTTACGGAAAACGTAACAATTAAAATTGCTGTCAAAACAAGATTAAGATTTCCAACCTTATCTCCAATCAATTATCACAATAAATGAATTCTCCAAATCCAACATTGACATTTGTAGTTTGGTGAGAGATGGTTTGGTCTCATTCGATTCTCAATGATATAATTGGATTAAATAGGTATAAATTGTTACTCCCTCCGTCCCACTTTAATAGTCTTGTTTTCCTTTTTCGTCTGTCCCAAATTGTAGTCCACTTTCCCATTAAGAAAGGTAGTAATCTTTCAAATTGTCTAAAATACCCTTATTAAATATCTTGTTATTAATACATTTTGTTATTAAATACTAACCCACTACATTGAATACATTGAACTTTTCCAATACTAACCCATTAGCTGTAACTGATATTAATTGGCACTCTTCGTGATTAGCATAAGGGTATTTTAGGAAATTATTAATCTAAATTTATGTTTCCAACCAAATTAATTACACTTTCTTAATCTGTGTGAAAAAAAAATCAAGACTAACAAAACGGGACGGAGGGAGTAACAAACATAAGACCATCCTTAACTCATGGTCCGCTTCAGACAATTAGTGGTCGGAATGTTACCTTTTTCCTTAAGTGCCCAAGTTCACGACTTCAGCCAGTAGTGCATTAGGCGTATTGTTTGGGTTTGGGCCAATTCCTGATTCTTTGCATAAGAAAAGTGTTGCTTTCAACGCAGACATATAGTAACTTCTCGAAATCCGCCCACTTCTATCCCGGGGAAGGAATAAGAAAGAAAGGCAGTTATCTCCTTACCCCGTAGTTTGGCTGCATCCAACAAGTTTGTGTACTACATGTTCGTTGAATCGCCTCAATGGCGTTCAGCTCGTGCCTAAACTGCCATACCTGGACTCACTCCCAGAATCTGAACCAACCATTCCCCTTCCATCCATCTCCAGAGCCCACTAAATCCATTTCTTTCATATTTTCAGGACTCACTTCTCTCTCAGCCTCCAAGCCATCTTCTTTATCCTCTATATCTCAGCAGCAACTGTCGCCGGATTTCAGCTCAAAGCAACTCCCTGACACCCTTCGTCGTGAAGATGATGAAACATCAGCGCTTCGGCTCTTTGAGTGGGCTTTGGAGCAGCCTAATTTCGCACTCGCTTTGCCAGTATACGAGGAAATTCTTCGTAAGCTTGGGACTGTAGGGTCTTTCGGTAGAATGAGGCAAATTTTGGATGGCATGAAGAGCTCAAAAATTGAAATAACAGAAGGTCCTTTCCTTATTTTTATTGAAAGCTACGGGAAATTTGAGTTGTATGATGAGGCTATTGGCGTTCTTGACATGATGGAAAATGAATTTGGTGTGAAACCTGGCACGTTTAGCTACAATATCTTGCTGAATGTTCTCGTTGATGGCGCTAAGTTGAAACTAGTTGAAAATATCCACTCTAGGATGTTGACCAGAGGTGCAAATCCTGATGTTTCAACCTTCAATGTATTGATAAAGGCCCTCTGCAAAGCTCATCAAATTAGGCCGGCTATTCTGATGATGGAGGAGATGCCTCACCATGGTTTAGTACCGGATGAGAAGACTTATACGACAATAATGCAAGGTTTTATTGAGGAAGGCAATCTGGAGGGCGCATTGAGAGTAAAAGGGCAAATGGAGGCTGTTGGGTGCGCATCTAGCAATATAACAGTAAACGTTTTGACACATGGCTTTTGTAAAGAGGGAAAGATTGAGCAAGCTTTGGAGTTCATTCAAGAGATGGCGAGTGAGTGGTTTCATCCTGATCAATTTACATACAATACCTTAATCAATGGTTTGTGTAAAGCAGGGCAAGTGAAGCATTCTATAGAGGTGTTGGACTTGATGCTTCAAGAAGGATTTGATCCGGATGTATTTACATACAATAGTTTGATTTCAGGACTTTGTAAAATCGGTGAAGTTGAAGAGGCAAAGGAAGTTCTCAATCAGATGCTTTCAAGGGACTGCTCCCCTAACGCAGTAACATACAATACTATCATTAGCACCTTGTGTAAGGAGAACAGAGTGCAAGAAGCTACTAATCTTGCTCGTGCTCTTACAGAAAAGGGAATTTTTCCTGATGTTGGCACATTCAACTCACTGATACAAGGTCTCTGCTTGACTGGCAACTACCATAGTGCAAAAGAACTGTTTGAGGAGATGAAGGGCAAAGGGTGTCGACCAGATGAGTTCACATATAACATGTTGATTGACTGCCTTTGTAGCGGAGGGAAAATGAATGAAGCTTTCAACGTGCTAAAGGAGATGGAATTAAGTGGTTATGCGAGAAGTGCTATAACTTACAACACACTGATAGATGGTTTCTGCAAAAATAAGAAACTCGAAGAAGCGGAAGAGATTTTCGACGAAATGGAGCTTCAAGGTGTTTCAAGAAATTTGGTGACTTACAACACCCTTATTAATGGTCTTTGTAAGAGCAACAAGGTGGAGGAGGCTTATCAGCTCATGGACCATATGATAATGGAAGGTTTAAAACCAGACAAATTTACATACAATTCCCTTCTTTCACATTTCTGTAGAGGGGGAGATATCAAGAAAGCAACAGAAATTGTTCAAAGCATGACTTCAAATGGGTGTGGACCAGATATTGTCACCTATGGGACCTTAATTCAGGGCCTGTGTAAAGCAAATAGAGTTGAGGTTGCAAGCAAGCTCCTCAGAAGTATCCAGATGAAAGGGATGGTACCAGGCCCGCAGGCATATAATCCTGTAATTCAAGCACTGTTCAGAAGGAAGAGAACAGGAGAAGCCATGAGACTTTTTAGAGAAATGGAGGAAAATGGACATCCTCCTGATGCTATCTCATACAAGATCGTCTTCCGAGGGCTCTGCATGGGAGGAGGACCAATTGGAGAAGCTGTTGATTTTGCCATGGAGATGACTGAAAAGGGTTATATTCCAGAAGTTTCTTCATTCTACATGCTGGCTGAAGGCCTTTGTTCTTTAGCCATGGAGGATATCCTAATCAAGCTGGTTGAGAAGATTATGAGGATAGCAAACTTCTCAGAAAGTGAGAAGGCCATGATAACGGGTTTCCTCAAAATTCGCAAGTTCCAAGACGCTCTGGCCAGTCTTGGCAACATGCTGAATAAGCAAAAACCTAAGAAGAGTTACTGGTCAAGATGAAAGTGCCCGATTGATCTATGAGGATAGCAAACTTCTAGGAGGATATCCTAATCAAGCTGGTTGAGGGGATAGCAAACTTCTCAGAAAGTGAGAAGGACATGATAACGGGTTTCCTCAAAATTCGCAAGTTCCAAGACGCTCTGGCCTGTCTTGGCAATATGCTCTGAATAAGCAAAAACCCAGGAAGAGTTACCGGCCAAGATGAAAGTGATAATTCAGTTCCTTCAAACCCTTCCTGTTGTTGCCCATTTAACTCCATCAAGAATTCAAGTGTGGTAACACTAGTTCAAACTATATCATTTCAAGGTGGCTTAGTGACGCACCTGGGTCTTCAATGATCAGTACAGTGATGACATTTTGCTCTTGTTCTGACGTGAGAAAATTCGTATATGCGTTAACAATTTTCAGTACAACTTTCTCTTCTTGGCCATTTTACTATGATCTCAGATCGAAGGTCTTACTTTCAAATGAAAATCTAAGTAATAGCAGTATTTATTCAGGCGTTCTCACGCATGCCTGTGCAAGTTTTCTCATAACTACAAACACGGCTGTGCAGGTTTTTTAATTTTATGTAAGTGAAAACAGGCCTGTGCAGTTCAGAACACAAGTCACGTGCTGTAATTCAATCTATAGTATCTTAATCTGGCAATGGCTAAAAGTAAATAGCATATCTCGTGTCCTAGGCTTGTAGCTGCGGCAATTAGGAAACCATCGTGACCCAAAAATAAATAAATAAGAGCAAGAAGGACATGACAACATAAATTAAATATGCTTCCTGCTCTTATTATATTTTTTACCACGACACAGAAAACCTCTTTCTGCTTGGTGGATAATGCTCAGAGAAAAGCCTCCATTAGATAGGATGTTTATTAGTATATTATCCTATAAACCCACAATTCTGAATTTTGTGTCATCATATCATTAATAAATGTTTCTCCCAATTGCAAGCACTTTTAATCTTTTCTGTTGACAACTCCAGCAATTATAATCACTGAATAAACGACACGCAATATTTAGTATACTTAATAGCATGTATCTTTATTAACGCATTGAAGTCACCCATGTGATCTACGAAAAGTAAAAGCGTGTCACGTCAAGGAATATTAGGAATAAAATTTTGAAAAAATAAACTTACAAATTTTCAGCATTGTTTTTTTTTTTCAAAAAGGTAACTACCATATATGAAGAGAGAGTTTAGAGTTTTGGATTTGGTGTAAACTCTTTTTGTCACTTTTTAGATTTTCAATTTTACTCTCATAATTACTCACTTATACATACATATATATATATATATTATAAAAGTTGCACATTTATTTGTAGACACATTTTCATGCTTATTACTTGAGAGTAAATCTTATATATACTGATAGTGCATACACTATCACCGTTGGATCCATGACACATGTACAAAAATTGAATTTCAAATTTAAAATTTGCATAGTTGTTATTCATCCAATGCTGATAGTGTATACATTGTCAGTGTAGAAAATATTAATCCATTACTCAATATAAACAAGGTATAAATGTCAATATATGCTATTTTTATCAAGGAAAGAGTAACATTCATTGAAATTAAAATCAAATTGTTAATGTAATCCGAGGCAAAAATATAATTAGGGACATTATTGTTATATCTCAAAAGGGTAAAAGAAAAAAAAAAAGAAAGTCAATTTCCTAGTGAGCAATGGAAAAGGAAAATCAGAGTAAGAATACGAGAAAGGGTATTTTGGTAAAAAAAAAAAGCTTTCTAAATTGAAACAGATGAACCGGAATGCTCGACGGTCCAAACTTTACCAGTAGAGTAGTAGTAAGGTCTAGGGAGTGGAAACAAAGGCTAATTACATTTATCTATCGTCAGGTCGCACTCTTGGTTCTTCTCAGGTTTTAGGGCAAGCAGATAAGAGGCGCCCCCGCTGCAACCAGAAATCGAGGCCGATTAAGTGGAAGACCGGGAACTCCAACGCCGCTACCAACGATTCCTTCCTTCCCTTCCAATTTCCGTGGGCCGCAAGTGTCGACACCCAGCAGCCCGCGGCACGAATAGATCGACCCCATAGACTTCTCCATTAAAGCCCTCTATCACAGGTATCCTCCGCCATAATTCGGAAGAAAATCGGGGGACGGAAGCTAGAGATAGTTGTCCGGTAACCGCTGCGAGGGGTAAAATTTAATTGACTACAGGAAGAGGAGGAGAAGGAAACTGATAGATGTCAGATAGATATATGTACCTTAATAATTGGATTTTCTATGCGTACCATTGGGTATAATTAGAGTCACGTATATAGGGTTTAGAGTTGTTACTGTTTCGGTTCTTTTACCATTTTGTCTTATCCTTCTTTTGTTGGTTATTTTTCCATTAACAACTTCTAGAAGTATTCCTATTTATATATGGTAAGAATTTTGTGGAGATAAGGTTACATCTGATCTTAACTCTGCTCTATCTTGTTTTTCAGTATCTTTGCTTTTGGTGATTTTTCTGTTGCATTCTGCCGTAGACCCTATGATTTTTTTTAAAAATATTGAGTTTTGACTTTGGATCCATGTTTTTGGGGATTTGCGTATGAAGTTTGTCTGATGGATTCATAAATTTGTTGGAATACCATTACCTATATCATAGTGCAACCAAATTATCATTGGGGCTCAATTGTCTTTATACCGTAAGTGTATGTTTTGAACAATGCTCTCCTGATGGTGTTTCTAAATTCTAAGCTACCCTTTTTATTGCTGCCACTGGGAATATTCTTGTGTAAAAAGACATTGGATATGAGCATACTAGATTCATGGCAAAATGAATAGCAAATGGTAAAACCAGAAAACTTTAATATTACAGTTTTTTATGTTGGTAAACCATTAGCATCTTTAATGTGATAGCTTGACCTTAAGGGCATTAATCTTGCTTCTTACATAACTCCGTAAGGCATGTGGTTTCTTCCCCCTTCACCCAGCTTTTTGTCCAGCTGCCTTTCTTTCCTTTGTCACAAAATTCTGGCACAATCCATACTTCTTTGCAACAATATAAACTTTTTTGTTCTGCTTTGTCTGTTCTATCAGTTGTATCACAAGCAATTTTGGATCTTTTTGTTCCATCCTTGGTGAATATAGGTTGATCTGTGAAAATTCAGCTTTGCTTGCTTTGTTTTTCTTTAGCTAATTTTGGTGTATATATGTTGTGCAGTTATTATACCTCATTGACTAGATTTTCAGAAATGTCGACCTTTGCCAAACCTGAGAATGCTTTGAAGCGCGCTGAAGGTTAGTGCTAATACTTTCATGTTTTACATTCTCAAACCATTGGAATCCACCCATAATGATATCAAACTACACTTCTTTCACCTTTAAGCCTACAGCCTTGGTGATATATATCTTCCTCATGTCTTTTTTTTTTCTCTTTGGCTGGCTCTTTTTGTTCATGTGGCTGAAAAATTTTAATTAGTTGTCTCCTTGTAATTATTGTAAGAGGTTTGCAAGATCTGTGTGCACTTGCGTGCCTGTCTGTCTGTCGCTCTAGGTTCATAATTGATTTGACCTTATAATTTTATTCTCTGTGAGGTGGCAGATGAAGTGCTTGTTATAATACCCATTACATTATATTCATTGGAGGGTTAATTGTTGAATGATACTTTTTCTTCTGAAGGTTTTGGTGCTCTGTCACATAATCTTTGGCTTACATATCCTAAAATTATGCTTTTCATCTTGATACGTGCATGATTTTTGTTGTCTTCTGATGCAGAGTTGATAACTGTTGGCCAAAAGCAAGAAGCACTGCAAGCTCTGCATGACCTTATTACCTCCAGGAGGTATAGAGCATGGCAAAAGACTCTCGAGAGAATCATGTTCAAGTATGTAGAGCTATGTGTTGACATGAGGAGAGGGAGGTTTGCCAAGGATGGTTTAATTCAGTACCGTATTGTATGTCAACAAGTCAACATTAATTCACTGGAGGAGGTGATAAAGCATTTTATGCATTTGGCCACTGAAAAAGCTGAACTTGCACGCAGTCAGGCGCAAGCTTTAGAAGAAGCTTTGGATGTTGAGGACCTCGAAGCTGATAAAAGACCTGAAGATCTTATGTTGAGTTATGTTAGTGGCGAGAAAGGAAAGGATAGATCTGATCGAGAACTTGTTACACCATGGTTTAAATTTTTGTGGGAGACATACAGAACTGTTTTGGAAATTCTACGAAACAACTCAAAATTGGAGGGACTCTATGCGGTACTGCTCTCTTGTTTTTGCTTAGGAAATTCTGTTATGCACAAGATTTCATGAACTTGTTATTCTACCATCTCATAATGAATTTAAGGTCCTAAAACATCATATTTCAAAACTTTGTTGGCTTTACTAAAAATGTTCTTTTAGATATTATGTAAAACGAGATTTGTCATATCAATGTACACTTAAAGGCTTTTACGCTTGATTGTTATTTATATGGTTAATGCTGTGTACCTCTTGTTACTGTCGTTATCTGATTGTGAGTTTTTGAGTCAGGCATAATTATTGCTTCATTTTTGTTCCATCTAATACAGATTGATATATTTATTAAATGATATCAAGTATGATTTGGGACTTGAGATTCTCATTCTTATGCTTATTGTTAGAAGGAAATATGATTTGTTTTCTTGTCATTCATAGGATTTATTTTCTGTTTTTTTATCTTTTTTTTCTATGTAATTTTTTTTTCTCTTTGAATCATTATTGAGTATATTAGTGTATAACCTCCATGCAAGAAATAACTTCTGATTGGCTTCATAATTGTGTGTAGATGACAGCTCACCGTGCCTTCCAGTTTTGTAAGCAATACAAAAGAACAACTGAGTTCAGACGATTGTGTGAAATCATCAGGAATCATCTAGCAAATCTCAACAAGTACAGAGACCAAAGGGACCGGCCGGATCTCTCTGCTCCAGAAAGCTTACAGCTGTATCTGGACACCAGATTTGAGCAATTGAGAGTTGCTACTGAACTAGAACTTTGGCAGGTCTGACTTATCTTCTTCTTAGGACAATAAGTAGATGCATATATAATTAACCTGTATCAGCATAGTGATTATTGCCTTCCTTAATATTTCCTGTAGGAAGCTTTTCGGTCGATTGAGGATATACATGGATTGATGTGCTTGGTCAAGAAAACTCCAAAAGCATCTTTGATGGTGGTTTATTACGCCAAACTAACAGAAATATTTTGGATATCATCCAGTCACCTCTATCATGCTTATGCATGGCTTAAGCTTTTCTCCCTTCAGAAGAGCTTTAATAAGAACCTGAGCCAGAAGGATTTGCAATTGATAGCATCATCTGTTGTATTAGCTGCACTTTCAGTTCCTCCTTATGATCACTCACAGGGTGTGTCTCATTTGGAGCTTGAGAATGAGAAAGAAAGGAATTTGAAGGTTGCTAATCTTATTGGATTTGATGTTGAACCCAGATCTGAAGGCAAAGAAGTGGTAACAAAATGATGATTGCATTTCTTCCATTTAACTGTTGCCATTCACTTATCCCTTAACTGATGGTTTTTCTTTTTTCCCCCCAGCTATCTCGGGCTGGCCTTCTTGCAGAACTGGTAATTTGATTTCTGAGTTGGTTTTGTTGACTTCCATGTGTGTGTTATGCTAGAATGAACAACCAAGGTCATGTCGTAGTGTATTGATAATGCTTGCACTTGTTATCTTTATGATTTAAGAATCTAGATTGTCCTGCACAGGTATCAAAAGGAGTAATGTCATGTGTCACACAAGAAGTAAAAGATCTTTACCATCTACTAGAGCATGAGTTTATCCCATTGGATTTGGCTACAAAAGTACAGCCATTGTTAACCAAAATCTCGAAGCTTGGGGGTAAGCTTTCTTCAGCTTCTTCTGTTCCAGAAGTCCAACTGTCTCAATATGTTCCTGCTCTTGAAAAGCTTGCCGCTTTGAGGTTGCTGCAACAGGTTGGATTTAATCATTCTTGTCTATTTATTTTATTTGATTTCTTTGATGTGTATTTTACTGTTGTTTGTTCCGTGTTGGTTTCTTTCTCTCTCTGTTTTCAGGTATCTCAGGTGTATCAGACGATGAAGATTGAAACTTTATCTAAGATGATCTCTTTCTTTGATTTTGCTGTTGTTGAGAAGATATCTGTTGATGCTGTCAAACACAATTTTATTCCTATGAAAGTTGATCACATGAAGGGTGCTGTTTTCTTTGGTCAACAAGTGAGTTTCTTGGTTGCTTCAGATAATTGATCCTGAAATTACATGAACAGTGCAATTTATAGGACAATTCCACTGTGTAAAATGGGTTTACTCCATTAGTCAATGTTCATAACTTGCAGAATGATAAAGATTAACATGATAAATGTAAGTAGATACCATTAGCACTAGCCTAATTTCTATTCTTTTGTGGTCAAGTATTTTATACATTCTAAAGCGTCATCAATATGTGCAATTTGTTTGCCTGAACTTTACAGTTGTGGTCGAAGTATTTGGGGAAATGCTTATTATGCACAATATATCTGCAATATGCTTCCCTTAAATATGTGAAAAACCTGAATGGAGTGCTTTGACATTTATCTGCCTTTGAGAATTGAATGGGAAAGGCAAAGTTTGTTGCTTCCATTCAATTAACTTTGAATAAACTTGATTTATTATGACCCGTATGCTTCTGCCAGCTAACAATGATGCAACAATTAGAATCTTGCCTTGTTTGGGTTCAAAAAATGCTTGTACAGGAAAATCTTGGTCTAGTATGACTTGTTACTTGGCCTTTTGTTTTTTCTTAAACTTGCCACATACTTTTTATTATGATGGAGGTTATAGTGGAGTAACAGTAATGTTTCCATTCAGACTTTAGAATCTGATGGCCTTCGGGATCACTTAGCCCTCTTTGCTGAATCACTGAGCAAAGCAAGGGTCATGATTTATCCTCCTGTGAAGAAGGCACGGAAACTAGGGGAAACGCTCTCAGGTTTATCAGAAATTGTGGAAAAGGAACACAAAAGACTTCTTGCACGTAAGTCGATAATTGAGAAACGCAAAGAAGAACAAGAACGTCAACTCTTGGAGATGGTAAGTTCCTAACCCTCTGTGTATAAGATGACATTTTTTTCCTGACCATTGTGGACTGTGAAACATTTTCTTGTCAAACATAAATTTAGGAGAGGGAGGAGGAATCAAAGAGGTTGAAATTGCAAAAGATTACTGAAGAGGCAGAACAGAAAAGGCTTGCTACTGAGTATGAGCAAAGGAAGAATCAGAGGATCCTCAAGGAAATAGAGGAGAGGGAGCTAGAAGAGGCCCAAGCTTTGCTGCAAGAAGCTGAAAAACGCAGCAAGAAGAAGGGGAAGAAACCAGTTCTCGAGGGAGTAAGTATCAAAAATTATAATCTTAATTTCCCTTACAGTAGGCACTTTTTACTGACCTTTCTATGGATCCAGGAAAAGATTACCAAGCAAACCTTGATGGAAATGGCCCTGACTGAACAACTGAGGGAGAGACAAGAGATGGAGAAAAAGTTACAGAGGTTTGCTAAAACAATGGACTATTTGGAGAGAGCCAAAAGGGAAGAGGCAGCACCCCTGGTTGAAGCTACGTTTCAACAAAGATTAGTAGAAGAGGCTGCTGTTCATGAGCATGAGGAACAGGTGTGGACTAATTATTTCTATGTTTCCTTAATTTTGCTCTGGAATGCCAATCTAAACCGGGAGAAACAAGCTATTTCCACAAGTGTTTCCCTTTATATACTTGTATCAACTTGGATATTCATAGAATTTGTTATTTCTCTTACTTGGAATTTACCTATTTGGTTATTTGAATGACTTCTCTGTTCAATGGCTTCGTACAGCAAGAGATTGAGCTCAGCAGACAACGGCATGCAGGAGATCTTGAGGAAAAAAGGAGGCTTGGACGCATGTTGGAAAACAAGGTGATTGTTTATTGTGTTGGAAAAAGTTTTGGAATTAGATGAAAAATCATTAATAGCTGAGTTGCAAAACTGCGTAAAGGTGTATGTGCTAAAGGTCAGTTTCAGGTAAGGTTGGGCCAACCTGAATAAATCTGGATGGGACAAGTTGGGTTAAAAAGTTTGTTTGCAAGTATTGAACCATGTCTTTTGTTGAGTGAGACTCTCTTTGGTGTGCCCCGAGTGTAGTTTAGCTTTTCCCCTGTACATGCCTATTGTTGAAAAAAAAAGTATTGAACCATGTCTTTTGTTGGGTTAATTAGCTCTGTGACTTGCCAGTGCCTAGTGTGGCTTTTTCAAAGAACTCAAGCTTTCCATTAATACTTAAATGCTGTGTTTTAATTTTGTTCAGTTGTGTCATTTGTAGTGGTAATAGTTTGAATTGACATTTTCCTGCTTAAGCATCTTAAGTTGTTTTGTCCTGGAGTATTTGGTGTGTGAAACTGAGTACACAATGTCAATTGATGCTTGCAGAAACTATTTCACGAAAGAGTTGTTAGTCGCAGGGAAGATGAATTCAACAGGTTAAGGAAGGAGAGTCAAGATCGAATCAACCAAATCATCCAGACACGGAAACAGGAGAGGGAGATTCAGAGAAAGATGATATATTATCTGAGAGCTGAGGAGGAGAGATTAAGAAGACTGCGTGAAGAGGAGGAAGCGCGGCAGCGTGAAGGTAACTTGTTCTGACATTTTTTTTTTGATTTACTTAAGTTTACTTATTGGGGCCTGGAAGAGAGAAAGGGGGGGGGGAGGAGGTGTTGTGATGGAGGAGGAAACTTCTGGTCCAATCTTGGAATAATTACTTGTCTGGCTCTAGTTTCTGTGCCCTCTTTTGCAGTGAACTAGAAGACAGTAACAAATGGAGACACACTTCTGCAATGTAAACATATTGTCTAATACAATTTTTCCTGCTTCTTAGTTTCCTGAAGTTTTAAAATGGAGGCAACTTTATGTGTCCTAGCCCCAATCTTTTTTGTGGTTATTGTAGGATGCAAATTCAAGTCAAATTCTTGCTTTGCTGTTGCAGAGGCAATTCCAATTAGAGCAGACATGTTGAAACTAATTGCCTACTGCTTTCTATGGCTCTAGTTTTGTTTTTCGCATGCAACTGTAAATATGTTCTTGCTTCTCTTTCACCTGAGTTCCATCATCAAGTGTTATCTATATTTTGCTTGTTTTATCAATTGTGAACAGTTTGATCCAAATAGCAATCCTGGATTGTCAAAATTAGTGTCTTAAATGGTTCAAGATCGTTGCACTATTGCTGATGTTTGTCTATTGTTAATTGGCAAAATTTTCAGAAGCGGAGAGACGAAGGAAAGAGGAAGCTGAACGAAAGGCTAAGTTGGATGAGATTGCTGAAATTCAGAGGCAACGAGAACGTGAGCTGGAGGAAAAAGCGAAGAAGATGAGAGAAGAGGCTTTGGGAAAACCATCTTCTGTGGCTCCTAGGCCTGCTGATCCGCCTGCTGTTGCACGCCCAACAGACCCAGTGCCAACTGTCCCAGCTGTTGCTGCACAAAATACTGGAAAATATGTGCCCAGATTCAAAAGGCAGCAATCTGAGGCTGCTGGGCAAGCCCCACCTCCTGAAACTGGTGGAAGCAGGCTGGATGATCGAGCATCACTGCCTGGTGATCGGTGGCGTGATGATCGTAGGCCATCCTATGGTGGGGGCGCTTCAAGGCCTACTTGGTCATCGAATAGGAATCGTGAACGTTAATTCTGCAGCATATTGGCTTCAAGGATTTTTTGCCCGTGATTTGCCTATTTGAGCTTTATTTAAGAGACATTTGCCAAGTCATTTTTTGGATTTTATTGTATGGTTAAGTTCTGGGAGCGGGTGTGTTTCGAGTAAATTTACATCTTGAGCAGCAGAAGCCATTTTGGGATTTTCAAGAGACGACCTAATTTATTTTTCCCCTCATGCCCAAGAACCCTAGGACGTTGCCGCTTCCATTTTCATTTGTGCACTGTTTCTTACTGTTATTACAGCTATATGGTTTTGTATCAAAATGTTTGCGTTTTTCCTTACCTGCTTGAAGCTGTAAACGTGAAATTTTATCAGCTTTGTGAATTTTGTGGCTTATTATGGTTGTTGCTTTGGTTCTTGGGTGTAGGAATTTTGCCTATTCACGTGGTTTTTTGTTTTTGCGGATTTAGTAGGTATAATTAAATCACATGAAAATAGCTGGTAAACTAGGAATGCTAGAGCATGGAGTGTTTTAGGGATCATGCCTGTTCCTCCGCATCTGTGGGAGATCATGACTGCAGCTATTATTTATTAGGTGTATTTTAGGGATCATGACTGCAGCCAATTTTACTTGTATTATGTTAGATCAATTTCTAAAACGAAGTCGTTTAGCTCAATAATGATTGATCAATTGTAAAACGATGCAGTTTTGTTTAGCAGAGTTGGTTAGAAACGGTTAACTCCAAGTGGCTATAGAGGGAAGAATCCGATTGGTTGTAACCCATCAGATGAATGACAGAATTGATTCTCTTGTCTCTCTCTTTCTGATCTGCTGAATCTTCCCTGAATTTACTCTACTAATTCTAGTTCCTGACATATCGTTGGAAAAGCTTGCAAAAGCAACAACATATCATGGGACACCGTCCGACTTCACCGAGTTTATTCGCATCAGCAGGTTATGTTGGGTGGACCATGAAGGCAACCTTGATTGATTAAAAGATGTACTACGAAAGCAGTTGGCGTTCAAGATCCTCCCCGCGACCGAAGCATTGTAAAAAGAAAGAAAGACCCTCTGATTAAAGATATGTAACCAAGAAACAACTACCATTAGAGTAGTTGTCATCACAAAAGATTTAAAGTCTTTGTGGGGTGGGAGTTTTTTTTTTTTTGTCGAATACGATAGATCTATACTATTTTATATTAGGAGGAGAAGAGACGTGAAGAGATTTCTCTTCAAGGATAATTCAAAAAGAATTAAATTACTATTGGATCAGACGGATACATTACATATTTATATGAATTTTTTAAGCAAATTCACGTATTGTGACAATTGATGAGAAGAAAAGTTTGAACCTTGACCTTCACCGGAAAATCAACTGTTTAAATCTTACCTCTCCATATAGGTTTAAGTGCGTCGCTGTTAGTTTTATCAAATGATTCATTAATCTCTAACTTGGTTTGGTGGTGCGTCACTGTTATGATACCCGGTGTCTGGTTACGCCTGCTATTTTTTGTCGAATGCATCCTAGCGCTTTCACAGGAACAAAAGAGCTCCAATTTAAGAAATATTACTACTTAACAAGTACAGCAACTCCTCCTAGAGGCGACGAAGACAGTCAACCACCAGAAATCAAAACAAGCAAGGACGGGGGGCAGCGTATCTACAGTAGCACTCTCTGAGTAGATAAATGGAAAGAAAGCATTTCCCCTGAGATTACTTATTAGTGTCCTTGTCGAGTTGTCCTCAACAGTACTCTGTGAGTAGATAAATGGAAAGAAAGCATTTCCCCTGAGGTTACTTATTATTGTCCTTGTCGAGTTGTCCTCTTAATTCGACAAGAAGAAATCACCTAGGACTAGCTACAAGACTGAATTTGACTATAAAATATTTCTGGCAGCATTACAACTAGTATTATAGTGCAGAATTACTTGTATATCGTACCATAGATAGAGCTAGAAGATGCAGTTGAGAGTATGACCGATCGATGATTACCCCTTCGGCCGCCTAAACTCCTTTGGCTGTTTCAAATTGCAGATCCTTCCGTGGCCTCAATCCAATCCCTTTTGTCATGTCGCCTTCTTCCTACTAGCTCCGCCGGCACTATATGTTTTTATATGCAAGAAATTTTGCCCCTTTGTCATTATAATTGTTTTTATATTCACGATACACATACATCACCTGGTTTGTACTTTAGAACACGGACATCACGTGTTTATAAGCCAAAGAAGACTCTGATTGTTTTGTGTGAATTTTGGTTGATTTGACCTTGATTTAAATTGGGTTTGGGTTTTTTGTTGGTCTCTGTCAAGAAGCTTAATGGCCATGGATGAGGAGACACCACTGGTGGTTGATCATGTCAACTTATCAACTCAAAAGAACCCCACCATCGTCAATTACAAAAGAGATGTTCATATCCTCAGCTGGGCATTCCTGTTGATCTTTTTGGCTTATGGAGCTGCTCAGAATTTGGAGAGCACCATTAATACTGTCTGTATTAGTTTAACTTCTAATTTTATTTTCAACGAAACCCATTTCATCTTTTTATTTCTCTTGAGCTTTATCATACAGATTTGAAGGGTGAATTTTGATTTAATCTTTTGTTGTTTGCTGAAAAAGGAGGGAGATTTGGGGACCATTTCACTGGGGATATTGTACTTGTCATTTACATTCTTTTCGGTGATTGCTTCTGTGGTCGTTGGGAACCTTGGTTCCAAGAACACTCTGATTCTTGGTACCACTGGCTATTGGTTGTTCATAGCTGCCAATTTGAAGCCTACCTGGTAACTACTGTATTAGCCTAAACCATTTTCCCGTTTCTTTTCTTGCATTGTGTGACTTAATTTTATGCTGTAAGCTTCATAAAATTACAAGTAGTTATGATCATGAATAAAATCCGTCCCCATCCACCCCACTTTGATTAAAAATAAAAATAATAATAATAAAGGAAAGGACATCGCATTACCTTGATTGACTATTGTTTTGTAGGTATACTATGGTGCCAGCTTCATTGTACCTTGGATTTACTGCTTCAATAATATGGGTTGCACAGGTGCAATTTCAGATTTATTATGACTCCGAATGTTGATCCGTTGCTCTTCATGAAAAAATACGTACCTTGTTCATTTTTTGCTTTACTAGGGAACATACCTTACATCAACTGCACGCGGTCACGCATTGGATAATGACTTGCCTGAAGGAACTGTTATTGGTAAATTCAATGGCGAATTTTGGGGGATGTTTGCTAGCCATCAGGTAACGTTGTTGGAGTTCCTAAACTCAAATCTCTATCAGTTTTTTGAGTTTTGAGTTTGTGTAACATAAAGTCACTTTGCATGTGAAACTTACAGTTTGTTGGGAATCTCATCACTCTTGCTTTGTTGAGAGGCGGAAAGGTACGCGAATAAGTTGTTTTGTAGGCCATGTTACTGTTACAAGTCCTTTTTCATTTCATTAGCTTATTGCTATACCATTTCTTCATTAATCTTAAGATTGTTTCCAATTGAAGCTTTGGTCAGAGAGCATTTGCATGGATGTTTAGAAAATTATAATATGCTGTTTCCTTGATTTCAAATGGATGTTACGTGCTTACTGGCAGGAGATGATGTGCCAAACCGTCAGTTGTTTGTCAAATGACTGGTTTGGGTTTTTCACGTTTTCAGTGCATTCAGAATAAGTGTTCATGATCTGTTATTTTTACTGCAGGGAGGGAGTACCACTAGCACAACTTCACTGTTCATTGTATTTCTGTGTATCATGACCATAGGTACCATCCTTATGTGCTTCTTAAGTAACAGAAGTGCCACAGAGAAAGAGGAGGAACAAGACTCTTCGGTTAGTTTCTGTTATTCAGTGGTGTCCTTGTTTAAGGCTGTCCTGGCTCTTTTACTTGACATAAGAATTCTCTTAGTCATCCCTCTCATCGCGTACTCAGGCTTTCAACAATCATTTGTGTGGTAAATGAATAACCCGATTATGCTGCTGTAATCCTTCCATTTCCATTCAGTTTTTCTTGGATGGAACTTATTATTTCTCTTTCTATTACTCCTGTTGAGCTCAGAAATACTTCTATTTCAGGGCTGCATTCACAAAGCATGTGGTTCAACCTACATTGGGTGAGCGCGGTGTTGGTGGTGTGATGGCAGTCTATGGAGTCTTTGATGCAGTTGTGAGTATGCAGATGCCGATATAACAAGGCTCAAATTTGATGTTATGATCTGTAGATGTTATTTTCTACTCGTCATGCTTTAGTTGAGCACCAAACTAATTCTCTGCCATAAAAATCAGTCATTTGGAGGAGTTTCTACAACTACGTTACTGCTTAGCATGCTTTGTGGCTTCAATGAGATATACAATTCCAATGCCTTTCTTATTTCTAATTATGCTAGACATGTGCCTAAAAGTTATGTTTACTGTAGCATATAATAATTTTGATGTTTTTAGCTTAATACATGCTATAGTTTCTTAATGCTCTCTAATAAGAGTGGTTGAAATCTTTTTCAGTGTTCGCTTGCTGCTGGTCAACTTACATCTGGTCTTTCGACAATTACCGTAATAGTTCTTAGTGGGGCTTTCATTCAGACTATTGCATTCCTGTTGCTTTTTGTGCACTATAGGTCTGCTCCTGCTATTGCTGCTATTGCACCTTGTTCTTTTGCGGAAGCTGATGTTCTGTGCTCATGTAATTGATTCTCTCGATCTTATAATTGCTTTTTGGTCTCTGATGTAGCATGCTTCATGGAGTAGTTGGCCTTTTATATCCTTTCCTGATAGCTGCCTTGTTGGGTGTTGGTGATGGAGTTCTTAATACACAGCTCAGTGCATTTCTTGGGATTATTTTCAAGCATAATCTGGTAATGATTTTCTTCATCTGATGCTAAGCTGGCAATTTTCATGGTCTTATCATATGATGAAGACAATTCTTTTTAGATATTTACGAATTAGCGCATACCTAGTCTGTGATAAGATGGTGACTTTCCATTTGCCACTGAGTATGAGCTTGTAAAACTTATTCACTTGATCAGAGTGTTTTGCAACCCAAATTTTTCTGGATTTTTCCAAGAATTAGAGCTGACTCTTCCATTCTCGTTCAAATGTGAAGTCTTTAGTATTTTTCTGCTAGGAAGTATTCAATCTGTAGTAGAACAACTTGGTTACACTTCTGGGATTCAACACCGGGAAGCATACATACTGAGAGCAGTAAGGATAAAAGCCAGATGGAGTGCAGTTTACATGGGTTAGCAATAAACTTAAAGTAGACTAGTGCTAAAGGCACACGCGATGTGTGTGCAACTTAAAATGCATGAACGTTTTCTGCAAATTATTGATTGTAATTTTGGTAGTTGCAATGTTTGGAGGCAATTATGTTGTTAACATTTGTTTAGATGGTTAAGGTTAACAAATGGTTACGGGTGATTATCTTGACAACATTTGTTTAGGTAGTTAAGTATTGAGTAATTTTTATAAGGGTGAAAGTGGAAGTTATATAAAGTGATAACAATTGTTTACCCCAAACCTCCGTCTCTCCCTTAACATATAGTATAGATATAGATATACTTGTCACAATAGTAACCCTTTGGCCTTCCATAGGGAACCCCTCACTCCTCACCCCCACCCCCCCTTTTCTCCCAAAAAAAAAAAAGGATAGCAAAAGAGTCATGATTGAGTTCTCTCCTTGGCGTAGCTACTTTTGATTGAGTTACAAAAGGTTATCAAATTGGCTTTGGCCCAATCAAGTCTTAGCTCTGTCGTTTCATTTTTCTTAATCTAAAATGATTTGGATTGTTCTGGAATATTCTCGATCATTTTTGTCTTTTTGAACTTTGAATGCTGGATTAGTCAGAAACGGTCTTCATGTCTTGGTTCATGAATCTTTTCTTCTAAGATGTCAGAGCATTCTCATTGGCTTGATAGTTGCCAGCACTCTGCTGAACTGCTCGTGTGCTGAATTTCTTATGGTGCAGCAAATATCTAATGTCTTGCTCTTGTGCAGGAAGGGGCATTTGCACAGCTTAAGTTCTGGCAGAGTCTATCAATTGCAATTCTGTTTTTCATGAGCCCCCACATTGCACTCCACATAATTGTAGTAATCATACTTGTCATACTCTGCTTCTCGGTGGCTGCGTTTCTCTTCCTTATACTCAAGGTAGAAAGAGCTTTTTCCTTCCGCACTGCTGCTTAATTTTTTAAGAAGATGGTTGCGGGCTTGTTGCTGAGGATATCATGTATCAGCCCCTTTTGAAGTTCATCTTCCATCTCTTGGAAAAGTTGCAGAGAGTTGTAGTAGGATATGCTTGCTTCTCGGAGTACTTCAGGATGTGGTTCTGCTGTCTGCCAATCGGGTTGATTTCAATCAAGTGAAAAACAGGCGTTTGGGGGGGCGATACTGGTTAGGAGGATTCCTAAGTCATGACTGTCTGCAAGATAAAATTGGTGTTCTTCTTCTATGTTTGTATCTGTAAACTGAATTTGAAAGACCTCAGAGCGAGGGAGCAGGGGTTGTGTGAGTGGTTGTTTGCTGTAATCTCTCTCTCTCTCTCCCTCGGTCTCGCTCTTTTCTTTTAACTTCGACTATCCATTTTGGTAGTGAAAAGAAATGTATTGTGGTTCATTTTATGACATGGGATTTCATTTGTTAGAATTCTGGAAAAACAGTCAGTTTCCATCTTTGCAGACAATCTGTTGAGGAAAGCTCAGTGGTGGTAAAAAATTATGAAGCGTTTTTAACAAGAGTGATTAAAAAGGGTAAAACAGAGAGGAAAGGAAACATGAACGCAAAGAGAAAAAGATGTGCCAAAAAAAAAGGAAAAGATGTCGTAGACATATACCTGATTATTATCTGGGTAATCAAGTGAGCAGGATTTGAAAACAGATCATTTTTTCTATTACCTTCTTGGACCTGTGCAAATTGCAAATCTGCTCCAGCCCTATAGTTAATAGTTAATAGGCAATGGTGCCGCGTTCACCAGAATAACCAATTCTCGGTTATGTTGTAGCTCTCCTAACACAAACCAACAAACCAACAAAAGTCTGTCTGATTAGAGAATTAAAGAGGAGTTAGTCGACAGTTATTTTCTCTTGTTTCACTTTAAGACGTTTTGAACGACAAACCAAACTACTCGAAAGTAGTTGAGATTAGGTCCAATCCATTAGCCCAATACTTTCAGGGGTCGGGCATCCATCTCCATCTATCTATTCACAATGTGTGTGTATTGAAATAAGGAAACTGAGCAGCAGATAAATCATCCCAAGAAGTTCATCCGCAGTGTTCTTTTAGTACAGGACAGGATGAGTTTTACTTTCACATTGTGGAAGGCAATGCTGCAAAGGCTTTCTCCGCGGTGGCCTCTACTGCTCTATGCCGCAACGTGGACCACAATCCTGACCATAATAGTGGCGGTGGCGTCCTTCTCCCCTGAGTTGGCTTTTGTTTCTGCGGTAAATCCCACTTCTTCCTTCTCTCAGGCCTGTCGACTTCAACGACAACAAGATCAAAGGCAAGGAGGGCCTACGACGGTTAGAGTTCCGGTCGACGTTCCCGGGGAACTTTTCTGCCTGCCGGCTCATTTTTTCAAAAGGTCTAAAATGGACTTGCTGGTCCCCCCGGTTTTCGCAGCGGTAGTTGTAGCTACCTCCGCTTACGTAGTTAAGGCTTTGGCTTTATGGGAGATGGAAGATCCCCGAGACTAGGCCACGTACTTAGCTTGGGTATGGACCATGTACGGTCTCTGCACTCTGCATCCTTCGGATCCCAGGTTATTATTTACAGAGGATTAGTCGTAACGCATGCAGGTCCCTTTTCTTTTCATTAGTATTTTCTTTCAGCAGCGAAAAGCAAAGAACAGATAGCTACGTGCCAATCAGTGCAATGTAAGAATTTTTTTCTAATAGATCATCATTTTTTGGTTCAGAGGGGGAGAGATTCGATGTCGTCTGCAGGACTTGCAAACAAATGAAATTCTTTGTATCATAGTGGGGTATGGTTTCATCGACCACTTCAACGACCAAGTAAAACTTTCTACCTGTACTTAATTTCTCATCTTACTCTCAAACAGGCAGCCAGATTAGCTAGCTACATGGTGTACAAATGATTGATATAGGACCAAACTAGGAAATACAGTAGTAGTAGTACTAGTATATTTCATCAGTTTTGAGCCGCTGCATTCACCAACTTGTCGCTGAAGTCCCACAATCTCTTGGCTAAAGCTTTATCTCTTGCCAACTTGCTCGGTGGAAACTCATTGCAATCAAGAAAGTATTTTCCAGTCACACCTTGCAAACTCGGGTGGAGTGCAACATAGCATGTTGTGGCTGCCCCCTGCAAAGCGAAAACCCAAGCTGAAATTTTTATGCTTTACAAAACTTCTACCAGTAAATGAATGGACCAAAACTTCTACCAGTAAATGAATGGACCA